AAGGAATTATGATCAGTGGATAACTTCGAAACACGTGATGTGAACCGACGAATCGTATTCGCAAGATCACTTCGAAATAAGTGACGTGAACCGACCCGACGAATCACTTAATGGTCCATAAGAAGGATAGGATGTGACCTGAACTTGGAAATAAGTCAGGATATTTTGTCGCACTAGGGTACGCTACCTGGATCGTAGTGCGACACGTACTGTAGTGCGACATAGGGTGTTTTTGTCGGACTTCGCACTAGAGTACGTGTCGCACTAGAGTACGTGTCGCACTACAGTACGATTACCTTTAACAGTTAATCGACACTGAATGGTAGAAAGCATTGGAATACATAGTTGAGAACAAATGTTACTTCACAGTTACATTCAAGAAGCATCTATAATATCAAGATTGTGGTATGCTTTTAAAGAATCCTATATCGAATAAAAGGCTCGAAAGTCGATGGTGCTGTGATGTGTCGAGTAAGAATCAAAATGTATTAGTTTATGTTAGATACAAATAATAACTAAGACGAGACAGCATATTTTATTACAGTCAATAAGTTGGCATACGATGCAGTAATATGACGTGACATGATACGCATATCGTTATTGTTAACACGAAACAAAACCGCGCAAAGTATGAAATGATCTACAACCAAACCACATACAGATCGACGGCGACACCTCAGATGCGCGCAGGATTTTTCAAGTTCTGCACGCCTAATATAATATTAACGTTTATTACATTGTACATGCGCCAAACACCACTCTGGGATACAATAAAGTAGAACAATTAGATTGTATGCAGTAGGGAAATTTGATCGTGCGTGGTGTTACCGCGGCGAAATTCTTGTTAATACTCCTATTCACGTATATCTAATCAAATTGTATTTTTATGTATCATATGATTTTGTAAATATTGGCCGGTGTACCAAAAACCAGTCCTGTTCCCTAAAAAATAATTCAATAAGACACAAAAGGTTTCTGGAGAACCTGTTAAATCTTTATTCAGGGGGCATAATATTTTCTGCTGTACCTAAATAGACTTAGAGATAAGGTTAGGAAACCAAAACAAATACAAAGATTAGCATAGCAGCAATAACTAACATGAAGAAAATGAAGGAATTTAATTTCACCTAGCACAGTCATACTGGTTAAACGTGTCCTCACTGCAATATTTCCGGGACTACTACCTCTCTGTCAATGACATGTTCGACAACCAACACATCTCTCTAGAATATTAACTGTAATATAATCCCCCAATCCCTCACCAAATCCCGCTATAATCTCACTTTATATTACTGAATTATTACGCTACATTACCTAGTTATAAATAACTCTTTATCAATGCTATCAAACTTACTTCAAGCTTTATCTCTTTTGGCCTTGTAAAGTTGTCAGGTCTTGTTGGAGAGGTATCAGTAATTAAGTCAAAGTGTGGCTCTGCGAACAGTCAACTACAAACAACTGAATCAGTTCAATCTCGATATGCTTGAGCCACGTGCAGAGTTTTTCAGTATTGACCTTGCTGACGAAGATAAAAATAAACTGTATACGAAGGAATCATTGGTATACCACATCATGTTTGGTATCTCTTCATTTCTTCCCAGTTCCCACCTCCTGCAACGACTGCAACGAACAGTATGTTGTCGAATTGGATGCTGAAGAGTCACCTTTATTTCATTGTTGCACATGTTACCAGGGATCACACAACTGTGAGTTTGTCAAAACTTTCATAAATGTATGACGGAAGCGTCTATAATCAGTCTCCTATCTGGTCACGTGTGGATGTGTTGGGACTGTAAAGCTTCACACAACCCCGACAAACCCAGGAAATCTAAATCTAGACATAACAGTGTCACCAAACTGGATCCCGCATTGTCCAGGATTATGAGTGGGCAGAACAGTCAGACTACCTCCCCTACTCAGCAGTCTCATAATCAAAGTGTTTCTGAAACTGACTCTTCTCCTCTTATAACTGACACATTTCATAGTTCATACTGAGATCAACGACTCAGAGCTCAGCCAGAAGTTGAAGAATGTTCTACCCTATATCTAGCTCATTTCTGGGTCAATTAAATTCTACTGATGGATCACATCATTAATTATACGTCACATCACTAATTATACGTCATATTTCTATTATATTGATGTATAGTCAAGACGTGAGTGTTAGGGCTCTCATTGACAAATTTATGTTTAATCCTGTTTAATCCTGTTTATGATCTGACTCCTTATATTCGGGGACCCCCCTTTGTCGGCCTCCCCACCAAAGTAACCAAAGTAGGTAATACATTACATTAAAGAATAGCTGTTACAGAAAAAGGTATTATAAAAAAGATGTGCACGTTCGCGTCATTTTATAAGGCAGAAAATTTCAATCCAAATCGGCAACAAGTCAAATTACATTTTAAAATATAAACATTGTTTACGTTACCCCAGTCAAAAACGCGAATTAAATAGGTAATAATTGTTTTAGTCTCTTGAGTCTTGACACCATTTTAGGGTTAGACGGGTTCCTGCTAGTTTTACTAATTTACACCGCTGCCACGTATTTAACCTCGCGTTATCGATTAGTTAAAAACCGCGGCCTGCAACAATCGTTACCCAACTAATAGCTATATACTATAATCCCTGACAGTGACAAAATCACCTACAAAACCACCCACTTTAACAGCGTGTATTATTATTAAATACAAGCGCGCTAGCTGCCAGCATACTTGTATCATTTACTTTGAAATCAAGTTTATTCGGATATTATTAATTATTATTAAAGCAAGCTTCTAAATTCGGGATAGCCTGTGGCAGGCAACGCCCGATTCTAATGCTTCTACAGACCTACACAAGTGCAAGTAAGTAGGTAAATATTTCATGCTAGGCATGTGGCACCCATTACGGTGACCATCCAGAAAAAAAATTTATTGATTGATTGTGTATTGAATTGGTGATAAATAATAGAATTGTTTTTTCTCAAAAAAATTGTCTTTTCTCAAAAGCTGGCACTTCTTAATCAGGCAGTAAATGAGTGAGATATTAAAACTGGGCTACTTATTTTCCTGCTTCTGGTGAACTAATGACGTGAGATGTATCGCTGAATAAATATTGGAATTTTGAAGTACATGAGGTTCAATGGACAAATTGAATTATTGATATATAATTTTATTATAAGATATTGGTAAAATTTGATATCCAAAAATTTGAAGTTCGAGTGGTACAATTAGATATATCAGATACCGTAGCTGCAAAAGTTCTAACTGCACCGCAGAAAACTAAGCTGCAGAAGTTCTAACTGCACCGCAGATAACTAATGGTTATACACAATGGTCAGAAAAGTATGGTCAACACCCTTACAACAACTCAGTATTTTTTAAAGGTCCATTATTAGCAATAAACCGATATAATGTTGCAGCAACTTCCCCGCCGAGTCTATTTAACCTGAACATTTATAAAACTTGTATAAAAACTATGCTCATCGATCAGCAAAATGAAAACATCGAAGACGAATGGCCTAATTTCATGTTATTTTGCATAACAGGACTAAGAAAATCAAAGCGTAACATAAACCAAAATGCCGATAATAACCTTGTCTCTACATCTTAGATTATATAATGCACAAACTTAAGCATCACTCAATAAACGTCGCATATCTCATCAATTACACTGCCAACATTCTTTTATATCTCTGCGTATTTCAAATCAAGTTACAAACACGCCGTCCATTTTAAAAATTGAAAAAACTAAGTCAATTCTTAAAATTATCTCAATTCTTAAAATTATGAAGTGCTCAGTCTTGTTTTATTTTTTATCTGTTACCTATTAACCATTTGAGAAATAAAACTTTAAGTTATAAACCTTCATTGTACTTTACCGGTAGAGTCTAAATTAAATAAATTGAGATTTCCTTTACATAATATATTTATGCATGTGCCCCACGGGGTTGAATTTCTTATTACCATTGATATGAGTAAACATTGGCTGGTACCACGGGCCAGTCCCCAACAAAAAAGTCGACAGGTTCTTTACAACTACACGTGTTACTGTGGAAACCAGTTCTTTACAGAAAGCTTTAAAGAAACCGTTCTCTAACAGATTAGCAGAGCTGAGTTTCCAACTTTAAATTCACCCAGACACTCGTCTACCATCGTCATGTCCTTTTACTTGGATAAAATATCACAGTACCAATGCAGTTAAAAAGTGGCGTTAAAATAAGGGACCCCGGATAATCAACCCGTAATAAAATGGTTTGTGCAAAACTTAATTTGTGCGTCAAAAATTTTTAACATGTATAATATTATCTTATATTTTAGTAAGTAAGAGTACTGAAAAAAGGGGTAAGTCATTGGGCTCAAGTCATGGCCTTTAGTAAATTCGAATCACATGAAATATTACAAAGTTTATTCAGTTAGTTTGACTTGGATTATTAAGCATCTAGATTTGTTATCTAGATTTTTCCAAGAAAAGGTAACTCCATGCCTGCACTTTCTAATACTGTTAGATATTATCAAGTTCCTCGCCTAATCTTGCTTAAGACCAGGAATATAACAGAAGCTGCTTTTTTACATCCGCGTCCGTTGTTTTTGATATCAATAAAGATATCAAGCATTTAAAACCTTATCTGCTACGAAAATAGGCTGGTACAATTACCATGATACTTTTGATTTAATTTAGTGCAGCTTGCCAAAACTGCAGCGTGGAACAGCTTGTTCTATTCTGGTTTCCTTATCTCTAAAATCGCATTTACCACGTTGCAGAGGTGTAATTGGAGTTGCAATCACATGATCACATGATGCCACAAAAGCATTTAAATAGACTCCTCTGTTCAGTCATCCTCACAATTCTCGAGAGGAAAAGTTCTCATGTTTGCTCTCGAGCCAATGTCCACTTTGACCTCTTTGTTCATAACACATTCTATATCTCTAAATGACGCCCTTTACGTGTCCTTGATAGTAAATTCGTCGATATTTAAATCCATGAAGTAAATTCAAATATTTGTAGTGAACTTGGGCCTAAGATTAACTTGATTTTATGTTGTTTTAGGTATGAAACTGTTCGCACTGGTTTTACTTTTGGTTGCTCCAGCAACAGCTTTACTTCCCGATCTTTTGGAAAAGTGAGTATATTTATCATGTGAGTTTATAAATTTACCTCTCAAATACTGGTTGCCATAACTACACAAAGAATCATGGGTTCGAAAAATAAACTATTACAATAATCTGCCCAACTATAGACAATTATGCAGCAACCTATAATTGAAATGATTAGCTTATTCCAAACATTTAACGAATCATAACCAATCATCACTCCTGCAGACTGTGGCCGGAACAAAATGAGGGTGTGTTCGATGGGGTAGCCAGAATCCCATACTTGGACCTCCTCAACGACAACTCCTACATTGACCCCTTCCTCCTCCAGTCCATGAAGAAATACGGATATTTCTACGTTGTGGATGTCCCTGAGTACAGCGCTTCTCTTGAGCAGGACATCATGAAGCAGTTCTACGATCTGGATGAGGATGTCAAGGACGAGATTGCTATCAGGAGACACAACCCCGCCAACAAGAACGCTTATCGAGGTGATCATTTAATTAATTTTCGTTTATCATACGGGTTATCTAAGATTTATAATTTTACTACTATCGATGATAAAATTCTTGAATATGGCACTAAAATAACCAATATCCAGGATACTGCCCCGGACTTGACGATGTTGAGAACACCCTCCAATACAAGAACCTCTACAACATTGGACCCCACGAGACCCGAGCTGCAAGCTTCGAGAGTGATGACATCCTCGAGAAACTCAGATACGACTGCCAGGAACCCAACGTGTGGCCCGAGACTGGTAACTGCACCTTCGACAAAGTATTCAAGGAGACCTTCCAGGCTGGATTCGAAATCAGGAGGAACGTCGGAAGAGCTTTCATCAGGAGCATTGCCCGAGCCATGGAGTACCCCAACCTGCCCGCTCTCTTTTCTGAGGACGAGTTCTCTGCTATGGGACTCAGGAAATACCCCATCCGAAGAAAGTAAGAAATGATCTTCTTCGTCCAGTACTATCAGCCGTACATTTACAATTTAGATTCATATGTATTCGCTCACGTTCTGAATCCTTAAATAACCTTAGAATTACCTTTATTTCCTTAACTTAAATAACCTCTTGTTTACCAATCCTTTCTGACAATACATTTCTCAAAGGATCAACAGCAACATGTACTCTGACTTTGACGGAACTCTCCTGAGAGAACTGGAACACATTGACTCTACCGTCACCGTCCTCTCCACCTTCAACAACGATGGTCTTGAGGTAAAAATTTAAATCCTAATGCTAAATTTATAATGTCTTCTATAAAATTTGATCCTGACGAAAGGTCAATTAATATTTTCATAACTCTCAGCCACTAAACGAAAATTCTTTCAATTTTTAAACGATGAAATCTTTTAGGTGCTCTACAAGAACCAGTACCGAGCCGTTCCCGTGACCGGAGAAAACTCCTTCATCGTCAACATCGGAAAGCTGGTAGATGACCTCATCGACAACAAGGTGCCCTCAGTCAGACATAGAGTTGCTGAAGTTGACTTTGATAGATACTCTATCACCTACTTCTTGGGACCCCAGTAAGTTTAAACATTGTTTAAGATTCTCTGCTTTTTATTCCTTATTGATTTCTTACTGGGGCTGGGTGGCCTAGTGGTTAGAGCTTCCACCTTCTGTACAGAAGGTTAAGGGTTCGAATCCCTGTGTCACTCAGTTTAGGGAGTAGCTAAGGATTCATTGGATCTATGCGATCTCCTCGGTCGACTCAACCGACGGATAGGAAACTTGATTGAGGGTTAAATGAGGAGAGATGCCTGTGCCAAAAGATCAAGAATCGTAGGATACTCCTTCAGAACATCTACAATGTAGTGTACTGTAAAACAAGGGCGATCGAACTATTCGATGACCCTGTAGAGGAATCTACGAACTTTACAAATTACAAACAAGACAATTATTACTCTTCAAATCTTATTGTCATACTACATAGTAAGGTAAATTTCATTGACTTCTTACGTCATTTCCTTTCAGATTCGATGCTGATATCAGCCGAAGTGTGAGCGGTAAACTGACCGACGCTGGACAAAAATACACCATCTTCGGAGAATGGATCAAGGACTACCTTGGTGCTATTGAACTCTTCTACTACTAAACAGTAAGATCATCAAAAACTATACATTTACTGCTAACTCCTCAAATCCTGTAAATACCCATCGAAATTTTGCTAAGAATCTTTGAATTATTTTAGGTTTACAAATTTCTTGTCATTAAGTCCTAATTACTTTTTATGACAGCTTATCAATCCTTAGGAGATGAGGATGAGTTCTCAACGTGGTTAGATTGAAACGGTATGAGAAATTCAGATACCTTCGACATAACAAAGGTCTATAAATGAAATGACGACATCTTCTGAAATAAATGGACATTAGAATTACATGTGTAACTAAATTATTGTTAAGATAAGCAAACTCTAAAATGAAGAAATTTCAATTTTTATAAACTTTTTCTTTGCCGTAAAGACTTAACTAGGATTATTTTAAACTAAAATTTTGTACACATATAAATTTGATATTTAAGGATTACCTACTATTTCCATACAATTGAAATGCATTATAAAACGCTGATATTGCTGTTTCATTGTTCATTTAAAAAGTATTTATTAGAAATGTTTCTCCCCATTTTGTCGGGAAAACTCCCAATAGTATTCGGTGAAGTACTTAAATTCCTAATTTTCAGTGACTTTAATTCTACCGAATCTTATTATAGCTATGAAACTGTTCGCACTGGTTTTACTTTTGGTTGCTCCAGCAACAGCTTTACTTCCCGACCTTTTGGAAAAGTAAGTACATAATTTAAACATAGTTATTTAAGAATCATGGGTTCAAAAAAGAAACTATTGCAATAATCTGACCGACTATAAACGATTATGCAGCAACCTATAATTGCAAGGATTAACCTTTTCCAAACAGTTAACCAATCATAAACAATCATCACTCCTGCAGACTGTGGCCGGAACAAAATGAGGGTGTGTTCGATGGGGTAGCCAGAATCCCATACTTGGACCTCCTCAACGACAACTCCTACATTGACCCCTTCCTCCTCCAGTCCATGAAGAAATACGGATATTTCTACGTTGTGGATGTCCCTGAGTACAGCGCTTCTCTTGAGCAGGACATCATGAAGCAGTTCTACGATCTGGATGAGGATGTCAAGGACGAGATTGCTATCAGGAGACACAACCCCGCCAACAAGAATGCTTATCGAGGTGATCATTTGATTAATTTTCATTTATCATAAAAATTATCTAAGATTTATAATTTTGCTAATATAGGTGATGCAATTCTTGAATATGGCGCTAAAATAACTAATATCCAGGATACTGCCCCGGACTTGACGATGTTGAGAACACCCTCCAATACAAGAACCTCTACAACATTGGACCCCACGAGACCCGAGCTGCAAGCTTCGAAAGTGACGACATCCTCGAGAAACTCAGATACGACTGCCAGGAACCCAACGTATGGCCCGAGACTGGAAACTGCACCTTCGACAAAGTATTCAAGGAGACCTTCCAGGCTGGATTCGAAATCAGGAGGAACGTCGGAAGAGCTTTCATCAGGAGCATTGCCCGAGCCATGGAGTACCCCAACCTGCCCGCTCTCTTTTCTGAGGACGAGTTCTCTGCTATGGGACTCAGGAAATACCCCATCCGAAGAAAGTAAGAAACATTCTTCTTCGTCCAGTATTAACCTTAGAATTACTTTTATTTCCTTAATTTAAATAACTTCTTGTTTACCAATCCTTTCTGACAATACATTTCTCAAGGATCAACAGCAACATGTACTCTGACTTTGACGGAACTCTCCTGAGAGAACTGGAACACATTGACTCTACCGTCACCGTCCTCTCCACCTTCAACAACGATGGTCTTGAGGTAACAATTTAAATCCTAATGCAAAATTTGAAATGTGCTCTATAAAATTTGATCCTGACGAAAGGTCAATTAATATTTTCATAACTCTCAGCCACTAAACGAGAATTCTTTCAATCTTTAAACGATAAAATCTTTTAGGTGCTCTACAAGAACCAGTACCGAGCCGTTCCCGTGACCGGAGAAAACTCCTTCATCGTCAACATCGGAAAGCTGGTAGATGACCTCATCGACAACAAGGTGCCCTCAGTCAGACATAGAGTTGCTGAAGTTGACTTTGATAGATACTCTATCACCTACTTCCTGGGACCCCAGTGAGTTTAAACTTTGTTTAAGATTCTCTGCTTTTTATTCCTTATTGATTTCTTACTTTGCAAATCTTACTGTCATACTACATGTAGTATGACAGTAAGATTACTATGTATAGTAAGGTAAATTTCATTGATTTCTTACGTCATTTCCTTTCAGATTCGATGCTGATATCAGCCGAAGTGTGAGCGGTAAACTGACCGACGCTGGACAAAAATACACTATCTTCGGAGAATGGATCAAGGACTACCTTGGTGCTATTGAACTCTTCTACTACTAAACAGTAAGATCCTCAAAAACTATACATTTACTGCTAACTCCTCAAATCCTGTAAAGACCCATCAAAATTTTGCTAAGAATCTTTGAATTATTTTAGGTTTACAAATTTCTTGTCATTAAGTCCTAATTACTTTTTATGACAGCTTATCAATCCTTAGGAGATGAGGATGAGTTCTCAACGTGGTTAGATTGAAACGGTATGAGAAATTCAGATACCTTCGACATAACAACGGTCTATAAATGAAATGACGACATCTTCTGAAATAAATGGACATTAGAATTACATGTGTAACTAAATTATTGTTAAGATAAGCAAACTCTAAAATGAAGAAATTTCAATTTTTCTAAACTTTTTCTTTGCCGTAAAGACTAGGATTATTTTAAACTAAAATTTTGTACACATATAAATTTGATATTTAAGGATTACCTACTATTTCCATACAATTGAAATGCATTATAAAACGCTGATATTGCTGTTTCATTGTTCATTTAAAAAGTATTTATTAGAAATGTTGCTCCCAATTTTGTCGGGAAAAATTCCTAATTGTATTCGGTGAAGTACTAAAATTCCTAATTTGCAGTGACTTTAATTCTACCGAATCTTATTATAGCTATGAAACTGTTCGCACTGGTTTTACTTTTGGTTGCTCCCGCAACAGCTTTACTTCCCGACCTTTTGGAAAAGTAAGTACATAATTTCAGAGTTAAACATACTTATTTAAGAATCATGGGTTCGAAAAAGAAACTATTGCAATAATCTGACCGACTATAAACGATTATGAAGCAACCTATAATTACAAGGATTAACTTTTTCCAAACAGTTAACCAATCATAACCAATCATCACTCCTGCAGACTGTGGCCGGAACAAAATGAGGGTGTGTTCGATGGGGTAGCCAGAATCCCATACTTGGACCTCCTCAACGACAACTCCTACATTGACCCCTTCCTCCTCCAGTCCATGAAGAAATACGGATATTTCTACGTTGTGGATGTCCCTGAGTACAGCGCTTCTCTGGAACAGGACATCATGAAGCAGTTCTACGATCTGGATGAGGATGTCAAGGACGAGATTGCTATCAGGAGACACAACCCCGCCAACAAGAATGCTTATCGAGGTGATCATTTGATTAATTTTCATTTATCATAAAAATTATCTAAGATTTATAATTTTGCTAATATAGGTGATGCAATTCTTGAATATGGCGCTAAAATAACTAATATCCAGGATACTGCCCCGGACTTGACGATGTTGAGAACACCCTCCAATACAAGAACCTCTACAACATTGGACCCCACGAGACCCGAGCTGCAAGCTTCGAGAGTGATGACATCCTCGAGAAACTCAGATACGACTGCCAGGAACCCAACGTATGGCCCGAGACTGGAAACTGCACCTTCGACAAAGTATTCAAGGAGACCTTCCAGGCTGGATTCGAAATCAGGAGGAACGTCGGAAGAGCTTTCATCAGGAGCATTGCCCGAGCCATGGAGTACCCCAACCTGCCCGCTCTCTTTTCTGAAGACGAGTTCTCTGCTATGGGACTCAGGAAATACCCCATCCGAAGAAAGTAAGAAACATTCTTCTTCATCATGTATTAACCTTAGAATTACCTTTATTTCCTTAATTTAAATAACCTCTTGTTTACCAATCCTTTCTGACAATACATTTCTCAAAGGATCAACAGCAACATGTACTCTGACTTTGACGGAACTCTCCTGAGAGAACTGGAACACATTGACTCTACCGTCACCGTCCTCTCCACCTTCAACAACGATGGTCTTGAGGTAACAATTTAAATCCTAATGCAAAATTTGAAATGTGCTCTATAAAATTTGATCCTGATGAAATGTCAATTAAACTTTTCATAACTCTCAGCCACTAAACGAGAATTCTTTCAATTTTTAAACGATGAAATCTTTAGGTGCTCTACAAGAACCAGTACCGAGCCGTTCCCGTGACCGGAGAAAACTCCTTCATCGTCAACATCGGAAAGCTGGTAGATGACCTCATCGACAACAAGGTGCCCTCAGTCAGACACAGAGTTGCTGAAGTTGACTTTGATAGATACTCTATCACCTACTTCCTGGGACCCCAGTGAGTTTAAACTTTATTTAAGATGCTCTGCTTTTTATTCCTCATTGATTTCTTACTCTGCAAATCTTACTGCCATACTACATAGTAACGTAAATTTCATTGACTTCTTACGTCATTTCAGATTCAATGCTGATATCAGCCGAAGTGTGAGCGGTAAACTGACTGACGCTGGACAAAAATACACCATCTTCGGAGAATGGATCAAGGACTACCTTGGTGCTATTGAACTCTTCTACTACTAAACAGTAAGATCCTCAAAAACTATACATTTACTGCACTGCTAACTCATCAAATCCTGTAAAGACCCATCGAAATTTTGCTAAGAATCTTTGAATTAATTTTAGGTTTACAAATGTCCTGTTATTAAATCCTTATTACTTTTTATGACAGCCTTTAATCCTTAGGAGATGAACTCTCAGCGTGGTTAGATTGAAACGGTATGAGGAATTCAATTACCTTCGGCAAAACGAAGGTTTTTGAATCAAATGACGACATCTTCTAAAATAAATGGACCTAAATGTTTGACTGAATTTTTGTTTAGAAATTGAGAAATTTAAATTTTTCTAAACTTTTTGTTTGCCGTAAAGACTAGGATTATTTTAAACTAAAACTTTGTACACATAATATAAATTTGATATTTAAGGATTATTTACTATTTCCATACAATTGAAATGCATTATAAAACGCTGATATTGCTGTTTCATTGTTCATTTAAATTATTTATTAGAAATGTTGCTCCCAATTTTGTCCGGAAAACTCCCAATTATATTCGCTGATTTATTAATTTAAAGTACTTAAATTCCTAATTTGCAGTGACTTTAATCCTACTAAATCTTATTATAGCTATGAAACTGTTCGCACTGGTTTTACTTTTGGTTGCTCCTGCAACAGCTTTACTTCCCGACCTTTTGGAAAAGTAAGTACATAACTTCGAAGATAAACATACTTAATTATTAATCATTAAGCAGCAACCTATAATTGCAAGGATTAACTTTTTCCAAACAGTTT